CCCTGCTAGTAGCTTAGGACTTGAAATTTTGAGCCCTGACTTAGAGGATTTTAAATCCCTATGTGATAAAAATAAAATTAGGTGGGGGGAGTAAAAAATAAAAAATAAAAAAAAGTTATGAAAAAGTAGGAAATAATGGAAATTCAGATGATTCGTTCCACAACCCAAAAATATTCATATAAAACTTATTACAATTACAATACTGTACTGTAATATAATACTGTACAAAATATAAAGACAAATAAACCAATTACCGGTACCTTCAAGAGAGAGGAGGATTATTGTGCAGGACGACTTTCACTATCACTAACGGAATCACTGATATCTCTTGACTCAATGGAATCTTTTTCATTTAGTGAAACCTTAAGAAGGAATCTATCCAATGTGACATTGTGTTGTCGTTAAACAGACTCATCGCTCGCACTGCTACAGCCTTATTCGGGTGCTTTTCTACAACATTTTGCTCTTAGTGCAAGACATTGCTTGTATATCAAGGCAAATTTTTTCAGAAATGTTTGCTTGTCTTGCAAAACGCTCTCAAACCAAGTTACTTGTAAACCAAGGTATTACTGTATATATAAAAAAAAAAGTGACAATGTAAAAAATAAAATTAAAGAAATGAAAACCAAACCTGCTGCATCTGCATGCAAATAAATGCACGCATAGGACATTGTGTGTGTGTTGAGTGCTGCCGCCATTTCACTGTGCCATATTGTGGTAGCGAGGCAGCAGAACTCTCCCACACGCACAATGTGCATTAAAGGGCAAGTTCACTTTCCCAGGTAATATGGGAAAATGGAATTACCCAATAAAATCTGTCCCCCGTCTCTCCCAAAACCCCCCACCCCCCGGCTATACTTACCTTTCGGCAAACAGTCCTTACCCTCTGCTGGTACAGGTGTACTGTGCTTACCCCGTACTGTCCAGAGCAGTCCTGCCCTATGCATTTTGAATTTCGCTCGCAAATTGCAAGCACTCATTGGTCAGCGTGGTCTGGGGACCACGCTGACCACTGAGAAGCGCTATTTAGCACAGACCAATACAGTTTTGATTAGGGATGCACAGATACAGAGTATTTGGGCAAGTACTTGTACTCGCCCAAATGCTCGATATCTTCTCCAATACCGGAACTTCTGGTCAGAGGAAGACTTCCTCTGACCGGCAGTGCCGGAGGGGAACATGGAGCCAGCTTCCCGTGCAATCAGGAAGCGGGTCAGCGACTAATGACCCGTCTCCCAGTTTCCTGATTGGCCAGGAAGCCAGCTCCTTGCTGATTGGCTGGGAAGCCAGCTTCCCAGCCAATCAGCATTGAGCCGGCTTCCTGGCCAATCAGGTCATTACTCGCCGCCCGGTTTCCTGATTGGCCAGGAAGCTGGCTCGATGCTGATTGGCCGGGAAACCGGCTTCCCAGCCATTCACAATCAAGCCGGCCAAACAACATGGAGTCGGCTTCCCGGGCAGTCAGGAAGCCGGGTAGCATCTGATTACCCGCTGCCCGGCTTCCTGGTTGCCCGGGAAGCCTGCTCCATGCAAACGGAAGCACCGATACTCGGTGAGTACCGAAAGCAAAATATCGGTACTGGTACACTATACGCAAAAAACGGTATTGGTGCATCCCTAGTTTTAATTAAAACTATTTTTTTTGTAGTATTGGGACAAGTAGATTGTTATGAAGGACAAGTAGATTTGGCCCCCGCTTTAGCCCTTGGACAAGTAGTTTTTTCAAAAATTTCCACACCCCTGCCGGATAGCCCTCCGAAACACGCGTTTGTCGCACGTTTCTTTAACCCCAAATCGCGGTAAAAACGCGCGGCACGAAACACGAGGCAAACGCACATATTCCATACGCCCAGGTGTGAACCCAGCCTCAACGTTCTCCAGTATGGTAATTGATTCTAAGTGAAGTTGTTTCTGTGGATTAAAGATCAGCAAATGCGTTTGTTCCAATTGGGCTAGTAATTCAGCATTATTGTAATCTGAAATAGGGGAACACAGTGTTTCATAGTAACTCTGAAACAACACCTTGAGGGGAGGCCAAGGTTACAGCGCTGTCCAACTTTGATACAGAAAATATCTGCTGGGTCAGCACTCCATAGTTGGATCGGCTAACAATTGTCCATGTTTATCACCTCCAAAGCAAAGTTTGAAAGAAGCCCATTCTATGTGGGGTTACATGTCTGTATTTAATTCCCAATATGTTGTAATAGTTGGAGTAACCTGTTCTATTTGTTCCTCCTGGATCCAGTTAGGATTAGGCCACCATGTAATTCTGGATGTTTTAGGGTTCACAGAGATGATGAATTCTAATTGGGTGTGATCAGATATACCATCAGGGAGATAAAAGATGGATTTATTCAAGCCAAGATGTTATTGCTACAAAACACTAGATCTATCCTAAAAACAGATTTAAAGATGGAAGAAAAGCATGAATTTTTCAGAAAGGGTATGTAATATTTGAATCTAAAAGGCAGGCGACACATACATTAGTGTTTTTTCTTGATTTATTTCATTACAACCTGGAATAAAAAAATGATTTTGGGGGGCTTGTACCATGTAATATACACAACATGCCTTCCAATTTGTAAGTGCAAAATCATTTTATTGTGACACAAACAATAATTAAGACAAAAACCAGAAACCTTGAGTGTTTATAAGTATTCACCCCCGAACGTCAATTACAGCTGCAAGTCTCTTGGGGTATGTCTCTATTGGCCTAGCAAATCTAGCCACTGGGATTTTTGTCCTTTCTTCAAGGCAAAACTACTCCAGCTCCTTTAAGTTAGATGGGTAGCATTGGTATGCAGCAAACTTCAAGTCATGGCACAGATTCTCAGTGGGATTGATTTGGGCTTTGACTAGACTGTTCCAAGACATGTGTTTCCTTACAAACTACTCCAGTGTAGCTCTAGCAGTATGCTTCGGGTCATTGCTGTGCTTGAAGGTGAACCTCTGTCCCAGTCTCAAATCTCTGGCAGACTGAAACAGGTATTTAGTACCATCCATTTTGTTTCCTTGAGTCCTGACCAGTTTTCCAGTCCTTGCTGATGAAAAAGCTCAGTATTTGTCTCATCTGACCAGAGAACTTTCTTTCATGTGTTTGCAGAGTCTGCCACATTCTACAAACCTGTAGTCTTACTTTTTCTGGCCACTGTTCCATAAAGCCCTATTCTGTGGCGTGTATAGCTTCAAGTGGTCCTATGGACAGATTCTCCCATTTCTCCTGTGGATCTTTGCAGCTCCTTCAGTGTTATCTTTGAGGTTTTTGTTGTATCTCTGATTAATGCCTTTCTTGCCCGGTCTGTACGTTTTGGTGGGCTGCCTTCTCTTGTCAGGCTTCTAGTGGTGCCATATTCTTTTCATTTTGTTATGATGCTTTTAATGGTGCTCAGTGGAATGTTCAAATTGTAGGATATTGTTTTATAACCTAAACCTGATCTATACTTCTCCACAACCAGAGAGCTCCTTGGTCTTCATGTTGCTTGTTTAGTGGGTAGTGCAGACTCAGGGGCCTTTCAGAACAGGTGTATTGATACTGACATCATGTGACAGATCATATGATACTTTGCACACAGGTAGACTTTTATCCAGTAACGTCACAAGGGGGGTGCGGCCCACATTAAGGGACACCAAAATGACAGTCATTTTGGTGTCACCACCTCTGAAAACTCAGGCACTCGGTCATGGACCGAGAGCCCAACAGCTGCATGAGAGAGGAGGGACCTGGCAGCATACCTTATCCCACCATGTGAACGTCCCCTCCTCTCTTTGCCGGCAGTGAAGTGCATGTGACATCATTACGCAATGACATGCACACCAGGTAACACCTGGCCTGGCAACACCCCTGCCTTTATCAGTTAATTATGAGGACCCTAAAGTTAACTGGTTTGCCCACATTTTTCATATCATAGGTGGTGCAAACTTATGCACACTCAAGATTTCGGGGGTTTTTTGTCTTATCATTTATGTCACAATTAAAATATTTTACACCTTGCCCATATGTGAGGTGGGAGGATGCCAACAGTATTTTAAGTATTTACTTACCAACAACAAAACAGCAAACATTGTAAAGATTGCCAGCTTAAACAATATATTTCCCAACAATCTGTGCTGCATAATATAACTCTGATAACTAATATAAAACTGTTGAAGCAACCTTATCCCAGAACTTGCATCCAAGTGGGTACAAGGGCAGTCACTCTAGTCCACAGTGACCAGCTTTAACCTGAAACATTAACTGTAAATATTACAGGTAACCTGGTTGTCACCAGAGTTGTTTCATAAGGCATTGGAGGAATACCCCCCTTCCTTTTAAGATGGTTCAAAAAGCAAAGAACAAAAATGACACGTCCACAAGCGTTACGGTGTTTAAAGGAGAACTATGAGATGAGTGATTTCCACTCACCTCATAGTTCTAGCCAACCTGTGACAATGAGACTGTCACAGGTCGGCTCAGTAGATCGGGAGGTGAGCGAACACATACCAGGTTCGCTCACCTCTCGATCCTGTCATGGCTCTCTGCCGTGACAGGGAGAAGGGCTGGATTCTCCTCTCCCCGCTCCGATCTGCCAGCGCTGACTGGCGGAACGGACGGGGCGGGTACAGCTGGCTCTGCCTCTAGATAGGCAGAGCCAGCTGTCACTCACGCAGCTGGGCGGATCCCATCATCTACGTCGGGATCCGCTCCGGCTGCGGCGTCTCAGTATACCGTGAGCTGTAGCTCGCGGTATACTGAGCTTAGGGTAACGGGAGGACGCTAGTTTGTGTCCTCCCGTTACCCTAAGGAGAACTATGGGGAAAAACACTGACCCCATAGTTCTCCTTTAAGCACGGATGGGGAAGTGAGACCAAATGTCTTCCTGCATTGTAGCTCAGTTGGAGGGGAATTCCAGAAGGCAATCAGGAGCAGTTAGTAAAACTCAGACGGTATGGTGTAACTTCCAGACTTTCGGTGTTAGGATCATAGAAAACAAAATAGTATAAAATCTCCCCTATTTCACTAGGCCAAAAGTCTTTCAAAGAAGCAACTGCAAGGTAAATCGGTGATGTCCGCAGTTAGAGAAATAGGGAGAAGGAAAGGAGCATAGAACATTCCATTGCATATAAAGGTTCCAAACAATAAACCACTGCACTTCCAGTTCCATAATGTCACTAAAAGAGCGCAGTATGATGTGAGTATTAACAAAGAATTGTTTCACATCCCGGTGCAAGATAGTATGCGAGTATTAGGAAAAAAGGTCTTACCGCAGCTCATTGATCCAGTCAGATGCAGAAGCAGAACTTGATGTAATTCTCAGATGACTGTTGGCGAGGGTAAAACAATCTGTATCTAATATATTTAACTCTCAGTCATCTGCAAACATCAGTGAAGAATCTGTAACGTCTCTGAATTTTTGCTGAGACGTCAGGGAAAAGTGTTGTATTTTTGGTTTCCGTCTAGCGTCCAATAAAATAAGGTCCCAGTCTCTGTAATTGAGCAGGCAACCCAGAAATGGTCCAGGAGTTGCTTTTGGTGGTCTTTTACCTGTGGGGACTCTATCGGCTCTTTATACAATGTAAGGGTTTCCTTCCAAAGTTGCTCAGCAAAAAAACTTCTGGCTGTGAACCCAAAACACGCACATAATTCCTTACTGATCATTTTTTAGCATTGGCAGCTACAGAAAACTATTTAACTGCATTTTGTAACTCCACATTCCGGTTGCTTTGCATGATTAGATAATCTTTCAGTGAGACTATGTGGTCCTCTGCCCTTGTCAAGGTCATGGTGCATTATATTCCATTTAACAGCTAGCTGGTCTATCCTATCAGAGATGTCTTTTGGCTCGCTATAGCTTGTAGGATGGTTTCAGTGCCAGGCGCTCTCTATGGTTGTGGCTTAGGATCCTCAGAAGGTGATTCAGCCTCTGTGGACATGATGTACATCCTGAAAGCTGTTTGTGTGCTGTTGTCCCGGAGTTGCCTCTCTTTAAGAAATATGCCGGTGTATCACTAGCGCAGGAGAACCTGCTGGATTGCAGTGTCCCTCGTGGACGTCTAGACGACATTAGGTTACAATGATAATGGATAAGTATCTCAGAGAGAAAGAAGTGGTTCCGTCGATAAGAAATTTTAATCTAAATGGGATCAGAAACCATTCTACGTGAAAATACTTCTAAATTGACCCATTAAATCATTTTAAAGGGAAGGAGTGTTTGAAGCAATTCAATCCATGATTGATCATTTATAGTTGCTGTATGGCAAGAGTAGAGCCAAAGGAAATCTCACCGCTCCAATTCCTTAGTCGCCATCAGGACTCCCCAGGTGCTGGTCTAATAGGTGCGTCTCCACCTTGGAATGTAGTAGTATGCGAACAGACCGCACTATCCAGAGAATTCCGATACTTCAGACTTTATCGAAATTCACAGAAAATCCAGTATACAACCTGAGGTTGTAGCTGGTTGGGGGTGTGCAGTGCTGGTATTTGCTGCTTTATACACTTTTATTCACTGTTATATTGGATTTGCTGTGAATTTCAATAAACTCTGAAGTATTGGAATTCTCTGGATAGTGCGGTCTGTTCGTATACTACTTTATGGCAGGAGTATTACAGTATGAGTCCGACGTATAAATGGCTGAATAACAATCGCAATGCATTCCTGCCACTAGATAGAGCTGAGGAGAATGGGGAAATTTGTTTGCTTCTTGGCTCCATCTAGTGGCGTGAATGCCATTCAAAGGGCATTTGCCCAGTTATACACTGGGCAGAATGTTTATGAATCAGCCCATATGTGTCCGGCCATTCAGCTTTATTACAAGGCTGCAAAGAGGACTCGCCATTTATACCAAGTAGGGTCTACAAAGCTTTATTAAAGCAAATAATGTCTCTGGGAAGCAGCACACTCAGAATTTTTTAGACAGAAAATAATGGTGGCCTGAGCTAGCCATTTGTGGTCTACATATGTCTGCCAATGGGCCAGCCAGCCACCAGTCGGGGTAATATTTGCATGAGTAGGTTCAAAATACCAATCCAGACTGCTATTGGTCCCCCCTATAAGTCGGACTCTTTCAGGACCCAGCTCCTCCCGCTCCTCATTCATTAAACCTGTATGAAGGGCAGAGCCAAGCTTACAAGTTTATGAAATGCACACTGCTTGCCCTAAAGGAAGTTTTAGTATAACTGAGGAGATTTTACACATCATGTGTTTGCATTGCCAGTTTAATCCTCACATACAAGTTGTCAGGAATTCTCAACCATGCTGCTGAATGAGATATGAAGTGCCTTCTTCTACAGCAGTCTACTTTATTATTATGAATCTTGGTTCAGCCTCACCACCCTAGCCCAAACAAATATTAAATCTGCTTTAAACTAAATTTCCAGGCAAACTGCTAAATACACAGAGCACTTTTACCTCACAAAGGATTAGTATTACTGTCCATCCAGTCCTAAGATTTACACAGCCAAGCTAATCTGTAGCCCTGTTTCTCTGCTGCAGTTAAAGCGGATCTAAAGGAAAGCAGAAAAAAAATTAAATTTGCTGGCAGGCAGGCTCTTTATTACAGAAGAGACATACGAGGGGAATTGATCAAAAATGGAGCAGACAGAATCTGGAGCAGTTGCCTATGGCAACCAATCAGCTTCTCTCTTCAGTTAGTTCAGTTAAGATTTGAAAATGAAATATAGAAGCTGATTGGTTGCCGTGCACCGCTGCTCCAGTATTGATAAATTCCTTGCTATGTCTCTAAGGCTGGGTTCACACCTAGGCGTATTGAATATGCGCGTTTTTTAAACCGCGATTCGCGGTTAAAAAACCGCGCGACAAGCGCTCGTTTCCGATGGCTACTTGGCTGTATCCCAATGGAAACGCAAGACCAAAACGCGCCAAAGAAGTACATGTACTTCTTGGGCGTAGACCGTTTTGTATCGCGTTCGGACGGGCGGAAATACGGCAAGGTGTGAACCAGACCCATTGAATACAATGGGATTTAGATGTTTGAGCGTTTTGCAGAGCGTTCGTTGAGCGTTGATCGCGCTACAAAACGTTCAGGTGTGAACCAGGCCTTATGGCCCCTTTCACACGGGCTGATCACCGCTGTGACATCCGTGTCCGTACCGTCTTTTCAACTGCAATTACTGGACCCCATGTCTGTCTATGGGGATTCGGATGTAAAAGAACATGTGTTCGTTTATATCAGATTATCCCCGATCCAGCGCAATTAGGTCCGGCGAAACAGATATCTGATCCAGAGCTGGCTTGAGGCGGGGGTAACCAGGTTACACACGGCTGCCCATAGACACATATTGGGCATCCATTTGTGTCCACCTGAAAAAATGACAGGCCGACCCGATCGGACCTGCTGTGTGAAACGGGACAGATGACATTATGACGACTTTCTATAGGTAAACTGGATCGAGTTAGAATGACAAAAAAGGAGAGCGCCCACTCCATTTGAAGGATAGTTTATTAATTTTCTTTTTAAAAATGGTAATGTACTCACAAGAGAAAAGTGACACAAGCGTATTCAATGGTTCCCCTCACAGGAGGCTATCGCCCATCAGAAGCCACAGCACAGCCAAGTCAGCTCACGAGCGAAGTCGTCTTCCAGCAGCGAGTGGCAAGTGTTAACGCGTTTCTGGGGCACGCTCCCTTCCTCAGAACCCAGGGTGCCTTGTGGAGCTGCTCCAGTGTGATCAGGTTGAATTAATTAAGGAGGAAGGCTTGCTGTGTGTCATTTGCACTGGGAAGATTTTTGGATATATCGATTTGTACAGTAGAGCTGAGAGCAGGATGATGGAGTGTGGGAAAAGGAATTCAAATGATAAAATATTGAAAGTAAAAAAGCAGATGTCTAAACTACATGTAGGAAGAAATGGAAGGTATCCTTTTTTTTTCTTCTGCTCTGTGAAGTTTTACTTTAACGGGGGATGGTTGCTCTGCCATAAATGTTAAATGAAGATCGGAAGTGTGCGGCTTGCAAGGCAAGCAGCAGACAAAGAACATGTACTTCAAATTGGAGATGTCCCAGAAGGCTTTGCACTCACTTGCACGGCGCTCAGATCGCAGCTGCATTCAGCTGTGCATCCACAAGAAGAATAGACAGCATTCCCTACCCTAATTACAGCAGCATTCATCGCTATCTGCGCTACATTGTCACTGTACAGCAATGTTGGTTATGGCGGGGGGGTATAAAGGAAGCAAAAGCTCTCTATTAGAGGACTATTAAGCAAAGGGTTGCACAGTCATCACTTGGGTCACAAACCTAAAAACAAAAAGTTAAAAGAAAATCTGCAGTCTCATCTAATTTGAGAGCTATGAAAATACTGGGAAGGACAGCCGCATATCCTGCATTTCCATTGTTGCGTGCATAAATTAATAATTAAACGTGAATCCAAAAAAACTCTTCATTTGTGAATCCAAAAAAGATTGGGAATTTTCAGTGTGTCTACCAAATCCCACATCCAAGTGTCCACATCTAAGTCCCCTCTGGGATGCGCACTCACCAGACCAAGGTAATTGTAAGCAGAGAAAGATGACCGTTTGTACTCCTACAGCCGTCCAGTACTCATCCCCCGGATCAATATTTCACCACGAAAATATAAAAGGGACAAGAACTCCTCATGGTGTAGTAAAATCAACGTTTTATTAAACAAACAACGTAGCCACTTACAGTTAAAATCCGTAAAATTGGCAGCTCACGTAATTTATGGATTTTTGAACTCACTTTACATCACCTGCAGATTCACTTCTACATCACTTTAACTGATATATTTGAGATTGTTTTCACTTTTTATATGTCTATATGTTTTATACATTGTCACTTATCTGATACATCACTGTTTAGCAATATATGTGATTTAATTAACACATTTTGGCACAAGTGGAGATTTATGTTCACGATTTTGATGTTTATATAATTTTTGCCAACACTAATTTAATTCACTTATTAATGACCCCGAGCTCTGCACACCTAGCTATATATGAATTTGACCCTAGTGTCTTAAAGTACAGCAGCTCCAATACATTTATATAATTTTAAATTAATTTTTAAATTATTATTCACAATT